ATGGCAAATTGAATGACGGGGGGGGAGGAAGAGAGACGGACGATTTTAATCGCGCACGCAAAAAAGTCATCATAAAATTGAAAATGGAAAGCGAAAACATCATCAAACGTGAGAGAAAATTAAGCAGAGGAAATGGGAAATCACGAAGTGCACAAAATCTAAATTAGAATTCAAGAAAATTAAAAAGATCACAAAAAAAAAAATTGTTTTATTAAATCTTAAGATCTCAATTGTTTCCTAAATTAAAGTTAATTTTTAAGATTTAAATAGGAAATGAAAATGCCAAGAATCGATAATGATCCATAGAATCAAGAATCAAAAACTGTAAAACAAATATTTTCAAAATTTCAGAGAGAGATTTCCATTCTTAAGTCAACAACACAGAACACAGGAAGTAAAAGATCACGATGCGAAAACATCATCATCAAAGATCTTTCTTTCTACAAATTTCCCAATCAATTGGCTAAAGTCAATAAATAACACATAAATATTGACACAATCCAAGTTCAGTGATCACTGATCAATCAAGAAGCTCTAACTATTTAAGCAAACACACTCAATCACAAGTGATTGATATACTAAAGTGGGTGGAACTATGTCAAGTGAAGTGGGTTGTGGGTTAGGTTGCAATTAAAGATCGAAAGAGTATATACTTGAAACCCAAATGATTCCACTAAAAAAATATTATCAACGATCTCTGAAAATTGTTATCAACACCATTAGAAGATAAAATCAGACTGATAAATGCTCATCTAATGATCATTATAGAACATTATAAGACTTGTTCTAGATAACTTTATCACAGTTGTCTGAAAGATAATTTATTTTTGAGATCGAGAACGATCTTCAGGTTTTTCTTTTTTTTTGAATCCATTCCCATTCAAAATTTCAAATGCAAATAAAGGGCAACATATTGTCCGATTGCTTTCAGTCTTGATTGTCGTTTATCATTACGGATGTTGTTCAATGATGATCACAATCACAATCACAATCACAATCACAATCACGATCACGAGCTTCTAATTTCTTATTTGATTTTATTGCACGGTCGTCGATCTTCGTTGGGACAGAATACAATTTGTTTATTGCGGCCGCGCTGCTGTCGTTATTGTTATATTTATTATTATTATTATGGTTATTGCCATCCATTGCTACTACTATTGGCATTACTTTATTATAATTGCAATTAAACAAACACGAAATCGAATTGTTTGTGCAAAGCCAGATGGAATTCTAATTCGAATCGAATTTGGAATTCCCAGTTCTAGTTCGAATTCTGAGCTCTAAATTCCGAGTACTGAGTTCCCGAGCAGAACAGAACCGCACCGGCAACGTAGACCGACTGAATCTGAGTTTCGACCGCTGTTGCTATCGAATCGCATCGACAAAAAGGTCGGAAAGTGTTAAGCCAACGTCAACAAAAATCAAGAGGAGGGAGGGGATTCGTTCTAGGGAAGCTAAACTAAATAAATAATACCCAAAATAGAGCCCTAAATGTGGAATATAATTTAATATATATAATAAAACGATTTAAATTAAATATAAAATACTTTAAAAGTAGAAAAGCCAACTTTATAATTTTTCATTTTCAATTCATTAGTACTTGACGGCCATTTTGATTGATATTAAAGAAATAAATTACTTTTCATATCTTATCAATTTTCTAAACATATCATTTTAAGCACTTGCTATCGGTCTATTATTAAGTGGTATTAACTCAAAATGCTATAAGTGATAAATAAATAAATTAAAGTAATTATTTGTGGCCACCTCAGTTGAGTGTAGAAAATATTTCACTAAATGGAAAATTAATTAAATAATAAAATGGTATAACCATTTCTTATTTTTCCTCAAGTGCTGTGTTGCACTTTTGTTGCCATTGACGTTGTTAACGATTTTCAACCGTCATAATTGACCCCCCCCCCGCGTATTCTCAACACCCCTTGATTTTTTTTTCAGTGTCGTCATTAGCAACGTTGCCGGCAAAAAAAAAATTGTTATTTTCTGTTGTTTGTTTGACTTTCGCCTTGTTCGGTTTTCGTTTTAGTTTTTGTTTGCCCCAACGCCGCTCTATCAGTTGGAACTTCTGCACATTCTGATAAGAGTACAACCCCCTCACCACCTTTTTTTTTGTATTTTTCTTTTATTTTTTTTTTTAGTTTTTTCTAGGTACTATACGTACACGTTAATTTATCGCAATCGTTTTCAGAAATCGGTCAGTTAATTCCTGGGGTCTGACCACATGGCTCATTACCAATTTGGAGCAAGTGCTGCAGGCGGGGCACTAGAGGTTTGATTTGGGGCGGGGTATGGGGCTTTGATAACGCTTTTCCTTTGGCCAATACGCTCGGAATTTCAACATTCGAAATTCCAATGAGAAGGGTCAGTTTTCATGATATTTCTGTTCTGTTACGTATTTTGGAGTCTCAGAAACATTTTCAATTTTTTGATAAAATGAGTTTTAAATCTATGAAGAGCCTTACTTTACATTAAAAAAACAACTCTTCATCGTTTTTCGATTCACCTTAAGTTTGGCATTTGATTGGATTTCTGCGTATATTTCATTTTTTGTTGTTTTTGATTTCGATTCGCTTATAAAAACTCAATATATATGGGCAGATATTAATATATATAAATATAAATATATATATCAAAAGCTCTGCGCAGCAGATATAAAATATGTGCACACAGACACATATATATCATCAGCTATATCATCATTATAGATATAATTTCCACATATCGATGATATATACATATATATATCCACTACACGTTGTTTTTTTTTTTTTTTTTTTATTCTGTTTCTATGGACTAAATGCGTCAATTAAATATAAAGAGTAATAATAAATAAAAATATACAAGGTAGCGTTAGAGATACAGATCGCCCGATTCTCATCGTCTATATAGGAATTATAAATAAATTATGATTTTCAATGACACTATAAATCGAAATACTTGCAGGTGCATACGGAAGGCAAAAACAAAATAAATACCAAAAATTGTTGCGTTAAAAGATTTAGCGCCAAAGGAAAACAATTTTTTGGATCTTTAATCCACCGATCTCTGTAGCATATGGTATCTATATAATCTTCTTATATATATATATATATATATATCTATATGCATTTGGTTTCCTATTCTGCGTATGCTGAATTTATTTGCAATTTGGTTTTCGGATTTTTACGAGCTTCCTTAATGACATTTCGCTGAATTTGTATGATCAGAGGAGGGTGAATCTTTATAGAGAGGATGTCTGGGGATCAGCTGTCTAGCTTGTTACGTGCCTCATTAAGAATTTTCTGGTTTTAATTGACAGAACAGCAAAATTCGCACACAAATAAGACATAAAAATCAGATTTTGATTTCGTTTATTATAAATTTCCAATGCTTTCTGACTGCTCATTAAATTAGATTTTTTTTTTTTCGCCACAATAAATAATGCCAGGGTCAGGCCATGGCGAAATTTTATATAAATTTTTCTCAAGAATTATATGAGATATTAGGCATGAGTGCCATTTAGTTATTAAAGTGCTCTGAAAACATTACTAGAAAGTAGTAGTTTGTTGTACATTTAATCGATTTTGATTTTGAAATATTGATCAGTAGTTTTATCTGTAAAGATATATTACAAAACTAAGAAGTGAGAAGTCAAACGATTTATTAGAAAGTTTTTTGATAAATGAAGCAATTCTTTTACTTCCAATTTCACATTTTAAAACCAAACTAAATAAACTACTTATTTTATGAAGAAAGCTAAAACTAAACGCATATTTTTAGGCTGAACCATCTAAACGCAAATCTAATGTATGTATCATAAATAAAATATTATATATATAATATTGGGATAGCTAATAAATAATATAGATTTTGCTGTGCTTCGAAAATAAAATGATACATATATTGGCAACCTTCAACATATTTCTTTCGTTTTCTTGCCTATTCGATCGCTGTCAATTTAATTTAATTTATTTGTTTTTTTACTTTTTCATTTACCCATTCGCCGCGACTTGTTCAAATAATTTTTTTGTCATCTTCTCGTTTTTATTAGCACCATTCCGCCAAGTGGATCGTGGTATGAGTTTTATACCCCTATCTTTCTGTACCACTGTCTACCCGTTCCCGTTCTGCCTGTGGCTTCTTTTTATTTATTCATATTTTTTTGATCAATGAATAAACATAAAAGTATCCATACAAATCGCCTGAGAAGCAACAGTCTTCTCACTTACAAAATTCAAAAAAACATGAAGCAACAGGGTTGCTGTTGGAAGATTACGATTTTGTCCTATATTTTTTGTGATTTGATTGGTTTTAAGATTTTGTAACTCTTAAAATTGATAATTTGTTAGTTTTACCATATCAAAAATGTTATTAAGGAAGAGAGAGCAACAGGATTTATAAAACTCAGATTAGTTATTGGGTCAGGACTTTTTTTTAAAAACCTGATTAACCTGTCCTATATTGTCCTGTTTGTTTATGTATTAATATTATTATTTATAGTTACGTCGTTGACGTTATATATTTTATTATTTATTTTTTATGTTATTTTTAAAACTGTGCGGTCGTGTTTTTCATATATATTTATTGTATTATTTTTTTACCTATTTTTTTTTTTAGAAAACTGTTTTTGGTTTGTTTTTTTATGAGATTTTTTTTTTTTTGAAAACTTTGCAAAAAAAAAGGTAAAACTAAAATCGCGGCATTGGCGCGTGCGAGCGAGATGGCGTTAGCACGCGTGTTTACCGTTAGACGCGTGTGCCGCTAGTACCGTTATTGTCCCGTTTCCGTTTTCTTAGTTTTCAGCCGCGTTCTGCCAAACGATTCGTCCTGGTCGACGACATGCGTGCAAATAAACGAGAAAATGCCGAGCGATGCGCTACGAGCTAGAAATTTTTGACTCATTCTTCCACCGCCCCACTTTCAGTTCCCCAAAAAAATACCACTCATACATATTCCCCGAGTGGAGCGCAATTCAGAGAGAAAGATAGTCTGAGAGCATATGAGTTTCAACTCAAATCACATTTTATTGAGTGACACCTTTGCTCGTGCGCGAATCGGTCTCCTCGAAGAAGAGCTCCAGTAGATTTTTCTTTAGCAGCTGATCGCCATCTAGACGCTCCACGCCCTTCCAGTGGAGCAGGGCCGGTATCCCATCTACCAAGTAGGGCGCCTTGCGGAAATCGTTATCCTTGCTCATCCAGAATTCTCGATTACCAACGTCTACCACCAGAATTACACAGTCCGACGGAGCGTTATTTCGAAAGGCAGTCATTATCGTTTCTTCGGCTAAAAAAATTGAGGTGGATTAGTTGTGGGGTCTATAAGGTTGTTAAGTTGTTGTAACTTAAAAATATGATTCTTAATCGGTTTAAAAATTAGTAAAAAAGTTAACCTTTAAAGCGTCGAAATATGGAGCTAACAAAAGCCCTTTAAAAGTGATCCTTGGTCCCGGCAGAGAATCAAAAATCTTTAAAGTTACAAATAGAATTAGGCAGCTTTGTTAGTACCGAAACAAACCCGGGTATTTAGAGATATTTGACACCTACCAGCCACACAATCCGGACACCAGCTGCGTCCCTGCTTGTCCTTCTCGCCATAGAAGTAGATGTAGACGGGATAGCTCCGGTTCTCGTGGAGCCTAAGAAGATTCTCCATCTCCTTGAACCCACGTGCTGGTACATATTCGGGCATTATTTTATATATATATTTCCTTTATTCCGGGATCGAAAGTCTTGATATACGAATACCACCGGGCGTTCGAGTGAATTAAATTCCGGCAAATGGAGATGGTGATTCGTGGCGTTTCTTGGCGATTCTTGGCGATTTCAATTCCAATCCCAATCTTATCTGGATCTTATGGCTTTCTTGTTTTCTTATCGGCCATCGGGAAGTTTATCTGGTAATTAAGGGTGTATTTAATCGCTGTTTTTACTGTATTTTCTTTTATTGTTTTTGTTTTTTCCGGCAATCTAAGGCAACTGGTGTATATCCACCACACTGTTGGTACACCGCGCTCACCACGGCCAACGGTGCGTGCTGTTAGGCGCACAGTGGTGAATACAGCACCGTTAACAGTTTATCGATATTTTATTTTTATGTATTTAATTCCATATTTTTAAACTAAAATTTTGGTTTAGTTTCTGGCATATATCGCTTGGATTGTTGGATTTCAATCTTTCCTTATCTAAAGAAAATTTTTGCAAAATGGTCATCTTTATTTTATTATTATTTTTATTGTATCGTTTAAGGGTCAAGCTTTCAGCGTACAATTTTCATTTTAAATACCATTCTATTTGGGAATAACTGTTTATTTTTTATTGTCAGGTGTATGTATACATACTTGATCAGAAGTATTATAAAACTAAACACCGACTAACATATGGCATAGTCGATACTTTCTGTGATTGGTATTGTTGTTAAAATTTCAAAGCACACATCAAAAATACCGATTGAAAATGAAGGATGTAAAGATAAAGATAAAGAATTAGGAACTAATGCCAAAAAATATAATAAAATTAATATTTTCTTATTTTTGTGGATGGGTAAATTCTGAAGATTAGTGTATTTTGGTTTTTTCATAAATATTACCGTTTCTAAATTTGCTGTTGGGTTTAAATAGGATTTCTCCTATAAAAGCTTCATTTAGATTTCGGAAGTAATCAGCTTTTTAATTTCGTTGTTCTCTCCAAATGAATGAATTGCAATATTTGGGTAAAAATTGTGCTTAACAAGAAATTACCCTGACACAAATCGTCGGTTCTCACAACTTGAACTTCATTGGGGGTCGCATAAAAAGTTTAAACGGAAAAAATAAGATCTTGAAAAAGTGCAAGACAAGTGAAAAATGGCTTATAAAATGGATAGTGCAAAAAGCAAAAGTATTCAGTGTGTTTGAGATAACAAGATGGGTAAGATCTGGATCTTTAATCTTATCCAAATATAATTTCGATTATAATTAAATATAATATTACCTAAATCTTAGCTGTCTTTAAAAATTCCCTCCTGCTCTTGACGCTTTTGCTTGCTATCCATTTGGAAGCTTCGAAAATAGTTTATAAAAAGCCACTCTACGGAAATGGTAACACCATCAAGGATAAATGGTCAAAGATGAAAGGAATTGTTAAGCCGGAAGTCAGCACTATGAGCAGCACCACCACCACAGAGGAAGATTGGCCAACCGCTGTGGAATTCGTGATTGTGACAACGCCCAGAAGCGATTTGGAAACTGAATCAAAATTGATTAATGATGATGGTGATGATAGTATCATCATAACCACCACCACAGAATCGAATGTTGCAAAGGCTACGGAAATTTCGATAAAATCCGTAGAATCATCAACAATTCCGGTGGCCACAACAACATCGAGCAGTAGTTTAGCCAACACAATCCCATTACCGCCCACACCATCAGTATTATCTCAGCAGGAGAATCAGCCAGTTCCCTGTACTTGTGGTGTTTTTCTCTCCTCACAAATTTCCAATGGCCTGCCCACAAAACCATTAATTCACCAGGAATTGGATAGGATGTTTCCTTGTAATGCCATCGGTAGCAAACAGTGTCAAACTAAATGTCTAGAGACAGTAAGTAGTGTAATCTTTTCCCATCGATAAATTCGAAACGATTATTTCGATAAAATTGCTTTAACTTACCACCCATACAACTTTAGATCGTTCAACATCTGCCAAATTCTGCAAATATAGTTTGCTCCGCACTGGGCCATGATTGCCACAAGGAACGCGCTTATTTGTTCATTAAAAACTGTCACAACCAATGGGTTAATACGAATCTGCAGGCCGGCAGGGAGTACTGTTGTCGCTCCGGAGTTCCTTATCGTTGTCCCTTAATGGGTTAATGCTGTGAAAATTCAATAAATTATCGATACAAAATGAGACTTAACAATTTTTTTAAGTCCATGGAGCACTATTATTATATTATTAATAAGTTTTAAATTGATTGGTTTGAGTCCACGAAAGATTAGACTGGTTTCGATTTTCACTAAAATTAGTTGCGGTTTTATGTTAAAGATAACAGTTTATACGGGGTGTATTTAGTGGCGTAAACCAGCCTAAGTAATCTGGTCACACTGCGACCCAAAAAATTAATCAAGAATAATAAAGGAAAAAACTGAGGGAAAACAAAGCTCGCCTCGAAAGACAACTCTACTTCCATCAAGTAAGTTGGATATAAAGCAACGACAGTCCAAAAATCATTTGAACTTTTGGCATATTCCAAAATTACCAGGATTTTCACATACAAATAGAACAATGGTGTGCGTACCGTGCTTTATCATTCCACTTCTGCTATATATTTGGCACAAGTTCGTCCAGCCGATCCTGTTGCGATACTGGAATCCCTGGGAGAAGAAAGATGCCGATGGCAATGTGATTAAGAAGGGTCCGGAATTTCCATTCGAGTGCAAGGGCGGCGTTTGTCCATTTGTTCCTGGTTCCAAAAAAGACAACACGGAAGGTGATTTAAAGGATTCCGAAAACCCTCACCTAACAACTACTCCAACGGCAACGGAAACGGAAGCGGAGGAATCCAAAAAGGAAATCTAGTCAATATTTTCCAAAACCTACATATATAGTCCAATTTTTTTTTTTTCTCTGCTTGTCTATAAGAAACACTACGCACACATTTGATAACAACGTCATCATGCGATGTGTGGGCGGGCGGCGATGGGTAAGAGGCGTGGCCGCTAGGGAGCACTAAGAACGCTTAACTTGTAATTAATATAAATAAAATGAACACCTTGACCACACTACTACTTGTACACTGCAATTTTACTATGAGTTCCTGTTGAGGTTAAAGGTCAGTTTTATGAAGTTCCATAAGTCATATTAAAATTTCTTATATTAAAACTGAATTTCTGTATTAGCATTTAACAACAAATTATTTTAAACGTTGGAATTGTTATAAAAATTTTCATGAGAGCTCGTGTGAGTGTGATTTTTTAGTCTTCTATTTTTGGGTTTTAAGCTTAGACTTCATGTCAAAGTGTGGGAGTGCTTTTCAAGACTTATGTACATATAAAATTTTTCTCGATTTTTCGACCTAGCTATAGCATCAGGTCCCTTTCAATATCTCTAGTTTTCACATTCCTGGGGGCATTACAAAGTGTTTCAATGATCTTACTACTCTTATTATAATAAAAAAAACTGAATAGTATTTTTTATACAACAATGCCAAAAATTTGTCTAAATAAATCCAATAAAATTCTATCCGATCTCAAAAAAGATATATTTTTGCCATATTTTGCAAAATTTGATGATACCTATTTTTTCGGAGAAAAGGATGATGTTATTACTTACGCCTTATCGAAAATTGTAAATTTTGTTTCTCCCGATTTTCCCCTAAGAATGACAGCAATATGTTCATTACTAAGTCAATAATGGTCCAAATGTGGAATGGCTGACCTCGTTAGATTTGAATTTTATATACATTTATAAAGTGTAATTAAAAAAAAAACATTTCTTTTTATTATTATACCATTTACATTTCACGTTCGAGATTTACATTGTTGTTCAGCTTAGGTTTTGGTTGATAGATTGGTCTGTTTTATCCTCTTCACTTTATGCTTAATCCTATCTTCAGTCCATGGAGAACCGTGTTGTTAGCCATACCATTCGTGTGTCATCATTCCACCTGGAGTTTATTGTGTGTAGGAAACTTGTAGTTTATGTGTTGCTCTGCTCAGCTCAACTATATAGTAAGTGTTCAAAAGGTGCCATATATGTTGTGTGTGTGTGCCATGCTCTTAGGTTTTTACCGGGACTCGAACCCAGGCCGACGATACATTTATATTTTGGGAGTCAACTTAGCTCCCAGCGCTACCGTCGGCGGCGATTTGACAGGATCAAAATGTTCAATATAAGCTACACCTACTTCGATTAGTTAAAGTATGTTGGTAACAGCCTACTATGATTGTCCTGCTTAAAATTTCGAAATTACTCCTCTATATGATCCTTGCACATAACAGCCATTCTTTAAGCTGAGGGTCTTGTTTTACCAAAGTTAGGGCCAACAAACCGCAAAAAGTTTCTGATTTCTTGTCAAAAGGCGTATACTTGATTTTTCGATAAAAAAAAATCAGTATTTAAGCCCTAACGAAGCCAACAATTTTCCAAATAAAAAAGGTCATATTTCGTTCAGCTCATAATTCCATTTCTTATGGAACTGAATTAAAATCATTCGAAAATCATTTTTTTCCCCTTTTTCGAAAAAATAGATTAGTTTATCCCTCTTCACAAACGCGAAATTTGGTTAAATTTTGATCATTATACGCAAAAATAGATTATTGTCAAGATCAATAACCGAAACGACTTAGCCATGCCCGTCTGTCCGTTTGTCCATATAAACGATGTAATCTAGAGAACTAACAAGAACTAGGAAGTTGGCTTACTAAGCCTTATGGCAAATGACCACATAATATAAATAAAAACACATTTTTCTTAAAATAATTATTTAATATTTATTATATATTTCAAAAAGTTTGCATTTTTGTTTTGCTGTCTTGTTAGGAAAACAAATAATTTTACAATTTACACATTAAAAACTTACACAAAATATAGACGAAAGAAAGCATACTGTTCAAATTAAATATATAGAGCGAATCGAACAAGAACATCATTTCTCTGGAATTCTTTATGTCTTTTCTTTGTTTTGTATATTTTTTGAAAATATCTATTTATCCAACTTAGATCATAGGGCGGGTCTTATATATATAGAAAACTTGGCTGGTTTACTGTTGTTTTAATTGTCTTTTGTTCCTTTTTTTTTTTTTGTTTTTGTAAATTAGAATTATACTTTTTCGATGATGATTTATGTTTAATTTTTTGTTTTTTTTTTTGTCAACTTAAATCAAACAGTTATGAGAATCTTTTTACAGTTTAGCTTAGTCAATATGTAATAATACATAATAGTCATAATAAAAATAATAAAAAAAAAAAATTGGTGTAAAAAAAAAAGGTTTGATGCGGTGTACGTCTAACAATTTTGTTTATATAAGCACTTCAGTTTCGAAACCTACAAGAACTACGATATCTATATATTTATATAGCATGTGGGCCATAATTAAATGTAGAATTCGATAAAAACTTAGCCTAGACTTATGGCCTAGTGATATAATGGTCGCTTACAATTACAAATGTCTCACCAACGTTTAATCGATCAATCAGAATTTTCGCTAAGTTTAGTTTCTCCTCTCTATATCTCTGGTTATTTTTTATGTTTTTATTTACTGGAAGCTACGATGACGTTACGACAATAAAATAAAATGCGCCACAAAACGAGCTCTTAACTGGTATATCTATGAGTAGATATATGTATATATATCTATACATATGTATAGTATATGTATATATATATATATATGCGATCGGTGCACTGTACAACAAGCATTAAAATAATTTAAGTTACTACATTATTTATGACGCTTCTTCTGCAAGAATTGCGTATTTAGTTTCTAAAATCTAAAACTTAAAGACACATATTTAAAAAAAAAAAAAGTCGCGTGAAAAAATACATAATCATAGAGATTAGAGAATTACATTATATAGCATTTTAGATAGAACGTAGCCGCGGACTCTTTAAGAGTCCCTCTGCTTTTATCCTTGGCAAAACATCCAACTTTCCATCTATATTCTATCCTTCCTTCATACTATTATTCTTGCGTCTAAGTCATCGGCTTATGGTCAAATGTAGATGGCCTCAGATCCTTTGTTGGCCTGATGGCCCCCGGATATATAGAGATTATTGGCCGCCGGTGATTGAACGCCCTCGCTCCAATCGGAATTGGATCGGGGCGAGGAGGAGGACCAGTGGCCAGGTGATTCCGGCGAGGGCGTAGGGTAGCTGTCCAACGTTTGGACCAAATGCTGCGGCGTATGGCCGCCGGAATGCTGGCTCGGTGGCGTTAGGTACTGGTAGAAGGCCTGCTGGTTATGCTGTGACGATGGCGACAGCATGTTGGTCGACGGCGACGAGCCGGACATCGAACTTTGTATCGAGGGCGGATTCATTTGACCCGAGTGAAATGAGTCTGAAAGTTGGAAAATTCAAATAATTAATATTTATCATGAAAAATGAATCCGAGGGAACATTATGTTGATCATCATATTGATCAAGTGACCTACCCGGAGATCCACAAAATCCATTCAGGTCCAAGCCCGCTGAACCGAACTCCAGGCCTCCGAGTTGCTGTTGTTGTTGCTGCTGTTGCTGCTGATGTTGCTGCTGTTGCTGTTGCTGCTGCTGTTGTTGCTGCTGCTGCTGCTGTTGCTGCGGGGATATCGTCTGCATTATTGCACTGCTCTTCGAGGATTGAGGTGGGGCAAGCATGATGCCCATATCGCTACCCGTCGGCGAGATGATGCCCAAGCTCACGGGCGAGTTCTGTGGCCCCTGGCCACCACCGCCTCCACCGACCAGGCCACCACCATTTGCACCGCCCAGCAGGCTATTGAGATTGCTGCCACCAAATTGCTTCTGCTGGGTGGCATGCCTCATCGCCTGGATGTGAGTGGGCGAGGTGGGCAGACTCGGTCGCGATTTAGCCGGCGATGGAGAACCTAAAAATTGGAAAAATTATTGATTAATATACGACGAAAAATTTGTTTAGTATGAAAAACTATCAATTGCAATCGATGTGAAACATACCCAAGTAAGCGTGGGGCGAAAGCGCCAAGCTACTCTGCACCGAATGCGGTGGTGATTGGTTGGAGTACGGCGGACTAAGTCCCTGCTCGTGGCTATTTCCATTTCCGGTTCCGGTCAGTCCACCCATTCCGCACAAACCGCCGGGCAGGACCCCGGTAACGACTCCATTACGCTGACCATTCCCATTCATCCCGAGTCCTTGACCATTGAAAGGCTCTTGTTGAAATGGCGATCCCATCGAGTAACCATAATTATCCAGCTTGATCATGTCCAGACCGTTGCCCTGTAGGGATTGCAGCGATTGCGCATTCTGAAATATGAAAAACAATAACAATTAACAAAATCTCTCAAGAAAGTACAACGATTGCTAAAGAATTTGAGGACAGCCACTAACCTTGATGCAATCCTCATAGCTCGGCGGTTGTTTGGCACCCGTGTTCGGATTGCCGTTCGCCAGCGGTGCGGCCATCGCGTTCGAGTACATGGAACTGGTGTCGTACGGACTGGGCATATTCCCGCCCATGCCCACGCCCACCGGTGATCCCTCCAGTTCGTGGGACATAGCCGCCACGGCTGCTGCCGCCGCCGCTGCTGCGGCTGCTTGTGCTGCTGAATTCGAGTTCGGCTGTACTCCCGGTACGCCCGATACTCCCGTCAACTGGCCTGGATTCAGGCCATTTAAATTGGCGGCCTTTTTTGAGGCCGCACTTGTCTTTTTTGAACTTGCTTTGCGTCGCAGACTGCCCGTGGCATCCAGTCCATTGTCGGGACTTCCTTCAATAAGTTTTGCCTTCTTGGCCGCCTTCTGTTTGGCCGTCTGGCTGCTCTGTTTTCCACTGGCATTGCCATTGTTGTTGTTTCCGGCGGAAATGACCGTCGGCTGGGTGATAAGCTGCGGCTGTTGTTGACCCGGCGGTGGGGATCCGATCATAGCCTGCGGTGTCATGCTCAGCATTTGCGGAGAACGCGGTACATGTTCGTCCAGCAGCCGGACAATATCGTGATGCAGTCGCTCGCTGGCCACATCCCGTGGTAATCGATCCATGTGATCGGTGATTTCGCGATTGGCGAAGTTATCCAGCAGCGCCTTGCAAGCTTCATAGCTACCCTCGCGAGCAACCAAAAACAATGGGGTTTCATCCTTATCGTCCTGAGCATCCCGATTGGCATGATGCATTAGGAGAATATTCACTGCCTCGGTATTGTTCACCGCCGCTGCCCAGTGAAGTGCCGTCTTGCCAGAGTTGTCCGCTGCATTGATATCAGCATCGGCGGTTATTAGATCCTCCACCATTCCCTCGATTGCTAGACGTGCGGCCAGAATCAGTGGTGTTGTTCCGTCGTGCATCCTGGCATTCAAATTGGTGGCCCTGTTTCTCAGCAGTATCTGAAATACACCCATTGCATCAGCGGCCACAGCAGCGTGTAGCGGTGTTCTTCCCGTATTATCCTGGCAATTAGCATCTGCTCCGGCATCCAGTAATCTCTTGGCAGCATCTGCTCGAGCAAAACGAGCCGCCAGATGCAGTGATGTCTCGCCCGTCTTGTCTATTGTGGCATTTAGCTCAGCTCCCTGGGCCAATAGATCCGATATAACCTGGGCCGTGCTATCCTCATTGTTCTCGATATCCTCGCCGGTATCCAGACCTCCACCATGAACGGCTGCAATCATCAACGGAGTTACGCCGCAGGGACCACGTGCATCTACATCGTGTTTGCCGCCATCCTGATGCGCCGGTGGTGTCATTATGGCTCTTACATCTGCCACATCCAAATGAGCCTGTGACCATTCCCTCTGATCCGCCTCCTCGTAATCACTGACCATTGTGTGATCGCTGGCATAGCCACCATTATTACCCAAACCAACAACCGAAACGGGATCACTGCGCTGCCTTTTGGGTAACGGCATATCCGATTCATCATCGGACCAATGGGCACCGGGCTGACCGACTCCTTGCGATTGCAGGGCCACCTGCTTATTCAAGTTCCTCATCTCCTGACCGTGGGGATCTCGTCGACGCCGAGACATTACCGCTGCCGGAGCTCGGAATCCTTCGGGGAACCAGGTGACACCATGTGCCCTCTTCCGATGCGTGCTCAGGACCATACCAAAGAAGGCCAATACGATGATGACCAGTATCATACCGGTAATCACATATTTTACATTCGCCGGTGGTTCACCATTATCCTCATCACCGGGATTCTTGATGCCACGGACACTATGAATTTGGAAATCATTACGTAACTGATGTTTGGCCGCCGTGGCTGCAAGAAATTCAGCTGCCTCAACAGCATGACTGAAACATTCAGTGCACTTGCGATTGTCGATCTCCAGATATATTTGTATACCCGTGTGATAGACCTGTTGGGTGTACAGAATCTTGTTTTTCCTCGCGAAATCCGTATCCTCAATCTCAGGCACGCGTACATTGTCCTTCCAGTTGATGATGATATCATGACCAAGGGCATCCTTCTTTAGACGCACCGTTGTTCTTAGCATATGGCTCATATTCCTAAGGAACTGCGCTTGGATCTCCCGGAATGCCTCCACATTCATAAGCATAACAATCGAAATAGCACCCTCGGCCAAGACCGGAGATTGCGTCTTGTTTTCACAGTCGAGACCATCCCAACTGCACTCGGCATTATTGCATCCATAGTCGCAGAAACCATCGCCATAGTGCTTCTGGCAATAGGCATCGAATAGGCTATCGCAGCTCTTTAGTTTCCTTTCGCAATCGTGGCCATCATAGTGACAGGCGGCATTATTGCACTCCTCGTTACATACGTCGTTCTGGAACTTATTCCAACACTCGTTGGCCATGCAATTAGCCCACGGATTAATCCCTAAGGAGCAATCATTGCCATCAAAATTACATGCATAGGTATTACAATCTGAGTCACAAATGCCATTTCCTTGCTTCTCCGTACATCCTCGTTTATCGCACATCGCTCGCTGTTGTTCCAAATCGGCGGCATAGCGATCATTACTCGATCCGGATCCGCCATTCCATCCAGGATAGTTGGCATCATAAATATCGCAACGTTTGCCCTTCCACTTGCTTGGGCAAAGGCATTCAAAGTCGCCTAGAAGATCTTCGCAGGCAGCTCCCTGGGCACATGGATTTGAGGCACACTCGTCCAAGGTATCCATTTCGCAATGCTCACCCAATGTGCCACGTGGACACTCGCATCGATAGCCGAATCCCTCGTCAGCCACCACACAGTTGCCTACACGGCAGGGATTCGAATCGCAGTCCTGGACACTCAGCTCACAATTCTTGCCATAGAAACCATTATTGCAGATGCAATGATGTCCACTCTGCCGAATATTACAATTGCCGCCATTTTGGCAAGGACTCTGGGCACAGAAATCCACTTTGTGTTCGCAATGGCGACCCATATGGCCTGGTCGGCAGTTGCAGTGATAGTTATTGACCAACTGTACACAGTCCAGGGTGCCGGCGTTGGAGCAGGGATTACTAAGACACTCATTGATATCACCCTCGCAACGGGCACCAACGAAACCTGGTTGACAGACGCATTCGAAGCCGCCAACGCGATCGATGCAACTACCATTGTTATGACAAGCACCTGGTTTGCAGTCATCCTTGTTGATCTCGCAAATGATGCCCACCGTTCCCGGCGGACAGCTGCAGCTGAAGTTCATTACTCTGTCGTGACATGTTCCACCATTCTGACAGGGATTCGGGGCACAATCGTCAATGTTCAGTTCGCAATTCTGTCCCTGGAAACCCTGGCGACAGCTACACTCGTAGGCACCAACCAAATCGCGGCAGGTTCCACCATTCTGACAGGGTTGCGATTGACACTCATCGATCTCCTTCTGGCAATAGCTACCAGCATATCCTTGAGAGCAGTAGCACACATGGCTATTTCCGTAATCCTTGCACGTGCCATTGTTGCACAATTGTCGCAGGCTCAATCCCTTCCGATCGGCCGCATCCTGACAGGATATAGTCTGAACATCACACAACTTGCCCGTCCATCCTGAAGAACACTTGCAACTGAACTGGTGTTTCATCTGGCTGCAAGTGGCTCCATTCTCGCATGGCGATTGACTACACCAGTCTACATACTCGGAACACTGTTTGCCCGTAAATCCGCTGGGACAATGGCAGGTGTACTCGTCCCTTTGCTCATGACACGTGGCTCCATTCAGGCAAGGATTCGAGTCACACTTGTTCAACTTGTACTGGCAATTGGCTCCAGAGAATCCGGTCAGGCAACTGCAGTTATACCCATTTATGCCGTCGATACAACTGCCACCATTTAGGCAAGAACTTTCCGTACAATCCTCATCATTCGTCTGGCAATTGATGCCCGAGAAACCCAGGGGGCAAGTACAAGTATAGCTATTCACATATTGACTGCAGGTTGCTCCGTTCTGACACGGCTGGCTAAGGCATTCATTGATGTCCGTCTCGCAGTGCTTGCCATCGAAACCATCCACGCACAGGCAGCTGTAGTCACCGATCCCGTCTAGACACGTTCCACCATTTTGGCACGGAAACGAGGCACAATCGTCCGTATTGATGGCACAATCCCTGCCTTCGTAGCCTTTCGTGCAAAGGCATTTATACGATCCGGGTACATTCAGACAACTGGCTCCATTCCGGCATGGCGAACTTAGTGAGCACTCGTCAATGTCCTCATCGCAATAACGACCCGTATAGCCCAGTTTGCAGGTGCACGAAAAGTCCAGAAAATTTGAACTGGGCGTACACTTGGCATCATTCATGCACCGATTGCTGGCACAAGGATCCATCTTGCTCTCACAATCCCTGCCCGTAAAGGGAACTTTGCAGACGCACTTGTATCCGTTGACCTTGTCGATGCAGGTTCCACCATTACCGCACGGATTCGTAACACAGTCATCAATATTGGTCTCACACTTTTGACCCGTATAACCAGGCATACATTGGCAACTGAAGGCGTTGAGCTTGTCATAGCAGGTTCCGCCATGCTGACAAGGATTGCTGCTACATTCGTCTATATCCAGTTCGCAACGCTTGCCCGTATATCCAGGAGGGCAGTGGCATATAAACTCATTGATGCCATCCTCACAGCGACCCTCGTTTACACAAGGATTTGATGCACATTCGTCTACATCGCTCAGACAATGAGCATCGTAGAATCCCCGAGGACATTCGCATTTATAGCCATTCACCTGGTCAATACAGACGCCATTATTCGCACATGGACTACTGATGCATTCGTCTACATTCTTCTCGCAATGCTGACCTGTGAATCCGGGAACACATTGACATTTATACGAGTTGATGCCATCGATACAGGTGGCACCATTATTGCAGGGATTACTGTGGCATTCGTTCACATTGACTTCACAGTTCTTGCCACTCGTTCCCGCCTGACATTGACAATAGTAACTGCCTACGCGATCCTGACAATGGCCATCAAACTGACACGGATTCGATTCGCATTCGTTGATCTGTTTCTGGCATATGTAGCCCGTATAGCCGGGATCACACAAACACTTGAAGCTATTCACATCGTCGATGCACTTGCCCCGATGACAAGGATTCGAGTCGCAATCGTTGATGTTAATCTCACAACTAGTACCTGTATATCCTGGCGGACATTCGCAGCTATAGCCCGCTATGGAATCATGGCAAATTCCTCGATTTCGGCACGGTTGCGATTGGCAATCGTCTATGTTGATCTGACACCGGGCTCCCGTAAAGCCCAGGGCACAACTGCATTTGAATCCATTGATCTTGTCGTGGCAGGTTCCATCGTTGAGGCAGGGATTTGATTGGCATTCGTCGATATCTATTTCGCACTGGGTACCCGTGAATCCTGGCATACAAACGCATCGGAACGTTCCCGGATCATCCAGACAGCTGCCCTCGTTCTGGCAGGGATGTGATTCGCATTCATTGATGTTCGTCTCACAACGTGGACCCGTAAAGCCCTGCGAACAGTTGCATCTATAGCTACCCGGTGTATTGACGCATATGCCATTATGCTCGCACGGTGATCCCTGATCACATTCGTCTATATCCTCCGAACAATCCACACCCTTGTAGCCTGTAGCACAGGAACAGGCGTAGGAACCATTAATTGGACTCGTATCGCATATGGCATCCGCATGACAAGGATTCGAGGTGCAGGCATCGTCCAGATGGCACAACAACCCCGTCTTTCCCTTGGTACACTGACAATAGAAGCTGCCAACGCCATCAATGCATGTGGCACCATAGAAGCAGGCCGCCTGCTTGCAATCATCCGTATTGTTACTGCAATCCAATCCTGCCCAGCCATTCACACAGATGCAACTGTACGATCCATGGGTGTTCGTACAGGTCGCTCCATTCTGGCACACCGGATGATCCCGTTGGGCGCACTCGTCCACATCCTCTTGACAGAACTTTCCCGTGAAATTCGGCGGACAACGGCACGTATAATCCGAGATACCATCAATGCAGGTTCCTCCGTTTTGGCAAAGATGTCCCAGACAATCGTCATAGTTTTGTTCGCAGTTCTTGCCCTCGAAACCTAAAAGATAAATTATAAAATATTTCTTAAAGAGGTAGCAAAGGAATAATTAATATCAATATTTAAAGGAAATAGTTTAATGTCCTATAACTTTACTAAATTCCTTGGCAAAACGATCATATTTAACATGGGTTTGTTCTAATTTCTCCCCATCTCCCTAACACCCACTGTGCAATGAAGTGCATAAACGGATTTATGGCAACATCATAAAATGCTTCAATAATAAACGTTTACAGTAACAACAAAAAAAAGTAGCTGAGAGACCAGCAATAATAACAACAAGAGGAAGAGCGAGTATACGAAGAAGCCGAACAAAGGGAATATACCGATTAAAGCTGTTGTTGCTCTGCAGCTGTGCTGCACATGTTTGCTTCTCAGAGAAATATAGAGAGAAGAGGGAAAAAAAGAGAGCAAGATAAATTCTCTCCTTTACGCCTGCGCTTTGAATGTAGACGGCTGCGCATTAGTGTTGCGGCTTTGGCTATTTTATGGCTAAATCTGGCTAAATTTCAGAGTCCCGCGCAACAGCTAGGTGTATATCAGTTCATGTGGAGCTTGCCTTTTGTCTTTCTTTCATCCATCTTAAGACGGACAGCTGGCAGCACTACTGCGCATGCGAAGCGAATAGGCAAACAAAGTGTAACGTTAAAACAGACAAGGCAAGGCAAAAAGCGCGCAGACGCACACATATCGAAGCAAACAAATAAACTTCGACAGCAGAGGGCATATGAAAAATAACTTTACTAATTAATTAATTGTATTATCAACAAAAATATCTTTTAATTTTTTGATTAACAGCCTAGAAGAAATGTGAAATAGAACAGTCTTATTAGCTAAATAATAAAATCAAAGTAACTTAGTACTGGTTGAAGCCAAAAACTAGTAAAGTTAATTTCATAATTTGTACCCTATTTTTGCGCTCGCTGGTGTGCCAGCATACATGTGACCATTCACACACACACAGCAGCAACATGTCTTTCGTTGTTCTTTCCCACGGTCTCATATCTTGCCACAAGCCTCTGTCTCTGCCGCAGTCTGCGTTAGCGCTGACGGTGGCGTCGCTGTCGCGGTCAAACTATCTCGAATGCGCGCCAAGCCATCTACCCTCTCATTCGCACTACCGCATCCATCCCTTTCGCACAACAATGGAAAAATGCCGTTTATGCTTCATTTTTTTCGCTCTCTTCTTGCTCTCTCGATCAAGTTTTTGGACTTCGTTCATTGCGCTTTATTTTTTTTTTTTTAGTGTGTCTGTGTTGGAGGAATTAAATCGCATTTTATGTGGATGCAATGGTATTTTTTTTCTTCACTCTCTCGCTCTCGCCCACGAGATTTTTTTCCCGTCTTTTAATGGATTTTCTTGCTTGGTCGGTTTTTTTTTTTTTTCCATGCCACAAAAGAAGGGCCACAAATACAACCAGCACACACATCACATCAAAGAATGTGCATGTGTGTGCGGCATTTATTATTATTATTTTTATTATTTGCAACTGCAACTTGTTGCTGGAAATGTGCAACAACAAAAAAATTGAGGAGAAAAAAGGAAAACAAAAAATAAAAGGAAAAATAGTGACGAAAGTGACATTTTAAGTGCACCCCACACCATTTAACAATTTTTCTTGCCTTTAAAAATAAACCAAGCTAAATGAGATTGAGCATAACATAACAACAACATCTGTTTCATATTCGTTGCACTTTTTTTTTCCATCTCACCCAGTCACTTAGTGAACGCACTTTGAACTCTCAACCAATCCTTAAAAGGAAAGAAACTATATATCCGAAATATTCGATAAGCCAATATCTAAATCGAATTGATACTTTACTTCCGCTTCCTATAAATTTTATAAATATCTTCTTAGGTATTACCAAAAATTTGCTATCAATTAGTTGTTATATCTTCAAATGGTTAAAACTTTAAAACTAGTTAATTAGGATCCTCCAGAAACGCAATATTTTTCCGTTCTTTCCTCCTACTTTTCCCCTTCCCTTTATTCGACAACAACTTTTTAACCTTCTGTCGCCAATTGTCGCCCATTCAGGCTTTTCTTATTGTAATTTTGTATTCATCATGTAAATTGCTCGCGTTGCATTTAAGCACACAGTTATAAATGTACATATGTGTGTGTTTTGTGTGCAATTTCAATTAATTCATTTCAATTGAGGCGAATTGCACACGACAATTCACAGGCTGCACAAGCTATAGAGCGAGGAGAGCTGAAACAATTTGATAAGCATGGCTATGTGTGTCTGGCCTTTTAATTGCGCCCAATCAAAAATTCTAATGAGCCGAATGCAAATGGCAAATACAAAATAGATCAGATCAGCTAAAGATCGTGCGAAATGCAGGGATTAAAACTCATAAAATGGGATTTGTGGGAATAAAAAACGCCATAGGGATAATCTAAGTATGGTTTTATGATGGTTTGGTATAGAAGCTTTAAAAGATCGTGTGAAAGTGTGACCAAAACAGGAATTTGCAATATTTATTGCAGTGGGAAATGTTATAACGCCTTTTTCGCACTCTGTTGCTGCTGCTGTTGTTTCTTAAACTTAAGTTGTTGGCTAATGTTGAGCAATTTCAACCGAATTACAACAGCCAGCGAACAACCAAACAACAAACAACGAAACCGACACGACACGAATCGCCCTGTGGACATCACGTTGCAATAAGAGTGCAAAAACAACTACAAAAAACATAATGGGAAGGGTAAACAGGGGTAGGGGCAGGTCGGAGTTGCACTCATTATGCAAAATAAAGAAAGAAGTACAACAAAATAAAATCACAACAACGGGCGGCATATCACTAAAGTTGTTGGCTGGGAAAACAGGTTGCAGGCACTAAAAAAAAAAAATCACAAGGAGAACATGAGGAACAACAATGATGGGAAGAGTTATAGTACAAATTTAAAATGATCCCTAACTTAAAAAGGCGAATTTGATATTATTTAAAAATTTAGATCAAATATATGTAGATGTTGAGACAAAACTGAGTTAGTGAACAAATCTCTGCAAAAATTGAGCCAATTCCAGGGGCTATTATTTCCCCATCTTCTCAAACGAATATTCCACAAAATCTCTCCTCCCTCCACTTCCAATACTTTTACCAATGATCGGTGGGGCGGTATGGAAGCTTAAGCACAGTTACGCCCTAAGGAGGTCATGCAACACAATCGGCCAAGGAAGCCAGCGAAGAAACCGCCAGAAGAGTAGAGGAAGCTGCAGGAAAAAACAGAAGAAAAACGCGGTGATGGGGCCACGATCTTTAAATTTGTAATGCGCCCGGTGGAATGGACCGAACTGCACACTGACACTGGGAATGGGACGTAATGTAAAAGTTGCAGTCAAGAAAAAAAAAAAGAGAAACAAACTGATGAATGATGCTGGCTGGTCAAAAATAAGGAAATAAAAAACGAGGAGGCAGAGGGGTTTTTAGCTGACAAACGAGTATGCCCCTTGTGGCAGCTACTTCAGATACTTCGGCGTGGGCGACTATTTCTTTTATTTTTTTTTTTTTGTATTTTCCTCCCATTTGGCTCGTGGCCAGTCATGAGTCATGACTGAACATTATCGATAACTGGTTATCGATAGCCACTAAGAAGCGTTCTCATCGAAAAGCGTAGAAACATTTTCGCCCTCATTGCTGAGAACCCAAAGCCTCGGGTTGGGTTTGCTCAAATCAAAAATTAACCTATAAGTGGGAGTAGGCAATTGAAATTTGGTACATGGAGGTTATTCATATCGTTACGAATTCAAAACTTGTTTTTGTAGGTATTTGTTATTTGCAATATATAAACTAACCTATAGTAAATATATTTTTAGTTAACATCACGTTATACCAAGATGGTAGTCGGCACAAGGAACTTATATTCAACTTAAATTTTATTGAACCTTAAACCTTAAGTAACTTTGGTTTCTATGGAGGCTATAATCTTTAGTGTTTTCTTATAACTAGCTGATAATAATAAATAAGAACTCACCTTTGGGGCACGTGCAGTTGTAGGACAGACCGTTTGGGTGGCAAACTCCACCATTCTGGCAGGGCGATGGCGAGCAGGGCTTGTACTTGGTGTCACAATCCTTTCCCGTATAGCCCGTGGGACACATGCATCTAGAACAGAAGCGAGAAGAGCAATTAAACGCAAGTTAACAGCAATTAAAGACCAGCCTGTTTTGACTGTCTGGCTACCAAGTGAAACCATAAAATCTGTATTTGACCTGAACTTCCGTTTCGTAGTTCGAATTCGGATTCGGATCTGGATTTGTATCTCAATCCAATGAGGTTTAATTCGAGCGAGTCTCTGTGTGAATGTGTGTATTGCTTAGAGAAGTTTCGACCGGTTATTCGGTTACCACTAAAGATATATAATAAAAAGAAAAAAAGAAGAAAAACTCCAGTGGAGTATCTCTCTTTTGGGACTCTCTTTTATGGCCCGGGTTTTTGTTCACTTTGATTTTGTACTGCCGCGCTTCTTCTTTCATTCTTATACTTTTTTGTTTAATGTGATTTAAACTTAATTTGCTTGTGTGTGCCTTGTAAACCGAACCGAAACTCCAACTGCACTGGGATTCTTGAGAAGTGTTTTTTTTTTTTTTTTTTTTTTTTTTGTTTTAGCCATTAAAACGGGTTTGGTTTTTGTGTTTTGGCCGCCACGGGAGCACCGTAAAAGGCCAACGGACAAGACCACGCCTCTTCCAGCGCTAATTAAGACCATTAAAGAGTATTTAATTAAATTAAACAATTTAAAGGCACCAACCAAAAGCAACAGCAGCAGCTCTTTAAATAGTCAGCATGGCCATAAGAGAACTCTTTGGGGAACCCAATTCTTCGGAGAGACCCCGCACTTTCCCCCCATTAATGAATACATAGTCGTATAGGAGATTTTCCATCTCCTCAAAAGTTTTTTGAGTAAATTACATTGAATTGAAAATTGCCGGTGCCTAACAAAGGAAACAAAACAGAAAAAACATTCCGTAAAAAAAAAATTGATTTTTGATTGACATGTGAAATCCAACAGGCTAATAGCCCAAGGGCCTCTTTTTTTTATCTTTTAAATGAAGATTGGATTTTCGGTTTTTGGGTTCACAGAATTATGGCTTTTGTTGGTGTTATTGTATAGGTGTGTGGATCTTGATGAGCAAGTGAAATCTGGGCAAATTTTAATAATTATATTTGAAATTGTAAATCGCAAGCGAATATATAGGGCATTTGGAAATACCTGAAAGTTCCTTTGGACTTTTTGAAAAGAAAGGCAACATATTTGTTGCTCTCGCAATAATGCAGTTCACCTTTGACTCCCATGGAAAATTATTCATCTATTTAACCACTCAATATTCAATGGGCCCATTCCAATTGCCATGAATAACGAATCACGAATACCTATTCACTTAATTATTCGTTTGTATATTCGACAGTTTGTTTCCATTAATAAATTCCCACCAACTGACAGTTGACAAATAAAATCGCTGTCTTTGCCAAAAAAAAAAAAAAAAAAAAAAAAAATAAAACGAAACAGAATACCTAAAACCTCATAAACTAAAGCATGACTAAGCTTTGACCGCAGGTTTTTAGCATAGAAACATCATAAAGTCCACAAATCGAATATGAAATTTATGCAAATTACCCTGCCAGTCATTCAACGGTGGCAGAAGATCATTTAGGCCCCCCATTCACTTCCCGATCTTAACAATTTATCAAGAAGATTTCATTATTTATTACATTTTGAAGAGGCACACACAAAAAGGACCTAAATGAGGCATATTATTGTATTATTATATTGGTTTTGTGCAGTGTCGGTTTTATCTTACTCTTTTTAAAGAACTTCTTTATTGAGTTTTATTATTTAAAACTTTGTAATGAAATTATTTCAAGTGTATGCTAATTGCTTTGAAAATATCCACAGTCAAACTAAACTAAAACAAACAGCAAACACATGTTCACATCGCACTTTTCTGCTTAAATGGTTTTTAGTTAAGATATATTTAAATTCCCCGCACAACATCCTCTCTGGCCCCGCTCCCTTTCGATAATTTGTGTGTTCCAAATTAAAAATGCAAATGATTTCAAGCTGACAAAAAACGAAACGTAAACGAAGTAATTTAATTTACGTGGCCTGAACCAGTTCCCAAAAAAGAGTAAAAAAAAATTTAGTATTTATAGACAAAAGATCGCCGGAAATTTGAGATCTTTTGTCCGACGAGACTCAATTTTCTATAGGTCGGATCGCGTTTTGTGTGTTTTAATTAGAGTGGAAATGTGTTTGGGGCCAATTGGCAATTTGTTGTTGGCCTAAACGAAAATCAATAAGCTATGCAAATCGCTACGAAATAAAATGAGATTTTATAAATTATTACTCTTAAAGTGCCATTAATTAAAGGAAGCCATCGAGCGGCTAAGCTTTAGATAAATATGCTAATCGTTTCGAAACTATGATTTGTTATCGATTTCTCGGGGATTTGAGGTTTTTTTTTTTTTTTTTGCGGGGGCACAAAAGAAACCGGTGCAGAATCAGACGTGTTTGATCTTTTGTCGAACAGAGAAAACAATTTGCACTTGTCAACTTGAAAGTTGAGTTATCACATCCGTTGACAATTCGATTTATTGACAATCGGCGTTTCGATTGATATTCAACGGGTTGGAATTTCGATGTTCATCGATTAGTTTGGATTGGTTTAAAGTATTGTCTCCCAAAACGATGTTTTTAAATGTGTAATCGATGGAGTTAGCGAAATTATTCAAATTTTTGGTTGTGATCTCCATAAATTAATTGAAGTTGCTTTTGATTAACTTACTGGTAGGATCCATGGGTATTGACACAGGTGCCGCCGTATTTGCAGGGATTCGATAGGCATTCCTCGATGTCGTAGGAACATGTGTTGCCCGTGAATCCTGGTGGACAGGAGCAGGTGAAGCTGTTACTTCCGGCCGTGCAGGTGGCACCATTCCGACAGGGCGAAGATGCGCATAGATTCTTCGTCTCACATCGTTCACCTGTAAATAGAGAATAGGATTAGTAGTGCTATCATTCTTGTCTTATAATTTAGGATTTCTCCGTGGCAATAAAAACTCACCTGTATAGCCATTGGCACACGCACACGTGAACTCCTCAAGGGTCTTCAGTTGACAGGTGCCTCCGTTTTGACACTTAACATCGTCACAGGCATTTGGCACTGGTATTTCGCACAGGGACTCCACGAAGCCCAGAGGACACTTACAAGAGATGCCCGGACGACCGTTGCGGAAGGTCACGTGACAGGTGCCTCCATTTTGGCAACGATTCGATTTGCACGGATTTCGGTGTTCACAGTAGTCGCCGACATAGTGTGAATCGCAACTGGAAAAAAGATACAGATAGATACAGATTAGCGGGATGCCATTTAAAATGGGTTGCAGGTGGCGATTTGAATGAGAGCAATAAGCACTAAACTTAAAAAAAAATCTTTGATATTCAGAGAAACACGTTTCGTTTGGTGACGATCGAACGCAAACTGATATCTACAATATTTCTCGCAGTGCTTTCACAGATATCGTTGGTTGGCTAGTTTATCGACTTGTCGGCTTAGTTGACCAAAGTCAGGAGCCGCCAGATCTGCGTCACATGATAAATCCGTTCTCCAAGCGTACTCCAAAGTGTTTAAGCTGACAAAGTAGCCTCATTTCCGCCCCAGGCTCTGCTCCTTGGTCCACTTTCACATGGTTAGATTTGCGGACAAGTAGCGGCTTCAGTTGGACAATAAACCAAATATTGATCTTTGATATTAAAAATGTATTTAATTATACTCGTAGTTCTTTTTTTTGCCTTATTCGCCTTAGAAATCAGTGACAATGGAAAATGAGTTCAATAAGTTTCCCATAAAACAATATTTTATGACGTAAACAAAAACGGATAAAATATATTACAAATTGGTTGAGTAATGACAATGATGGAACAATATCTGCTCTTCACATTGAAGACTCTCTTTCTCTGATTCTCCACTCCCAACTTGATGTTGTTGCTATTGCTCATCGACGACGACGACTTCGACGACAATATGCCTTGTTGTTGTTGTTGTTGTTGTTACTTTTCCCTTGAGAAAACAATTTTTATGTACGGTAATTTGTGCGCGATCTTGATTGCATATTAAATTTTTTGCTGATGCTGCTTCTTCATCGGCTGCTGCAATGAGAAAATTACACGCATTGCTGATGCAGTGGCAACAGCAGCAGCAACATCAAGCAGCACGGCAGCAACATACCGAACAACCAGCAACAAGCAATGAATAATCATTAAGGCGGCTGCTGACCAACCTGAAAAGCGATGGAGACGCTGGGATGTTGTTGTTGTTGTTGGTCCAGCCACCAGAAAAGCAAGCAGCCAAGGAAAAGCCGCTTTTCTTTTTTCGTATTATTTCTTGTTTTTTTTTTTTTTTTTTTTTATCTCCTTTTTGCCGATGTTGCTACTTCCCGTTACAAGTGTGTGAAAATGCTTTAGATTTAGCATTAATTTGTAGCAATCCCCTAGAGAGACCCTGCCTAACCTCAAAGTCTGTCGATCGTAATCGAAGACAGCTTGCAAATTTTTAAAAGACAATTTAGAGAGTATCCAAAAAAACAAAAGGCAAAGCTGGAGAGTACACTTAAAAAATTATATGGAAAATGGGTCCTATTTAATAAAGATTCACTGTAGAAAGCTATTTGTCCTTGTCTAAATTATTATCGATTATAATATCGATTAATATTTAATTTCATTATCGATATTTGAGGTTTTTTATTTAGATATGTATCTTTTTTTTGAGATAGTTTGAGAGTAGAGAGCTTCTTTAGCAGAGGCTTCCTATTGGTATCTAGCTGATAATACCATATATATGACCTGAACCAAAAAGTAGGAACCTAATCAGCTAAAGCGTAGAAAAGTAACGAAAGGGAGGCTTCATTCAAATGAGGTGTCAGGCTGCTGCTGCTGCCCAAGCAAGCAAGAGCAAAAAATGTTTGATGGAAAAATTGTAATATAAATTATACACAGGCCGAGCCGAGTTTTTAGTTCGAGTTCGAAGTTGTCGGTAACTTGTTTTGAGAGAGAAAAGGAAAGAGAAGGCTGGCATAAAACGTGACTCGCATTGGCAAATAAACCAAGACAGCAACTGGGTGTGTTAGTATGTGTTGCTGGCTTTATCTTCTGTTCCTCGGTTAGCCCTCCTAGCTCCCCTTCGCTGATCTGTTTTTGAGCCTCCTTTATAAAGTTGGCCAAAAAGGGTATGAGTCACCTTTTGTCACGTGAAGGAAAACGGAGTGGAATTAAATCGTAAGATAAAAGGCCAATGAATTGTTCTACTTAAAACATATAAGCAATGATAATTCTATCGATAAATTTATAGATCGATAGACTTGACAAACTAGGTTTATAAGTCTTTTGTTAGAATTCTCATTAAAAAATCGATTTAAAACTCAAAAGCTATTATATTATTACAAAATTATTACATAAATTGCTCGTGAGAAAAGCCATAGTAAATCTATCTCAGATCAGATCAGATCAGATCAAAATGATTGTATCTGCGTCTCTGCATTTGTATCTGCATCCGTATCTCCGCTTGCAACTCAATTTGCGGTCGGCGATCGGTACAGAAATTGTTCACAATCATAACTCCATGAAGTGAATATGAAATGTACATAGATATATAGATGTATATATATATATATATATTCGCTTCTCACGATCGTTCGATTGAATGAGTAACCACAGCAGCTCGTATCGAATGGATTATGAATTTCTGGGGTGGCTGCTTGGCCATAGAGACTCATATAAGCAAATGATTTAATGTCATCGGCCGATGATCATTTATCTTTTTTTTTTCTTGACTATAGGCTATATATGGCTTCCAGGGAACGAAAGACAACTCTTCTCACCTATTTCGAAATAACTTCCCAAGTGCAAGGCTTTGTAGACTGACTAAAATTATTCTTATCTTTGGATATTACTTATTATAGCTGATTATTATTCATGTAAAGTTAGCTTAAGGATTAAGGTTAAGGAAACTCATTTATTGGCTACAATAATCTCTCAAAAGTTTTCTTTGTGTGTGCTGTAAAGACATAAACAAATCCAATGTCATAAATATATATGCCATCTTTTTTTTGCTGATCTAAGCTACAACTCTTAGGATCGGTGGAAGGAAGGGAATTACCTGACAAAAAAAAAAATAAATAAAGAAAACTGCTTATCGCCGCGAAAATATCCTCCATACACTCTTTAATATTTCCAGATTCATGTGCTGTGTGTGATCTTATTAGCTAACTGATAGGACAACACCAATTGATCAATGGCTGTTTATTTTTTTGCTGTTGTTATGAAAGGATTACTTTGTAAGGGTTCTTATCAAATTTGATTTCGCACTACTTATTTAACTTTTGATCTCATTAAATCTATATTGCTAATACTTCCCTAGATTTTTAATCTCTGACAATATTGATACGATAATTCATGTGAATCATTTTTGAGTTGAATAATAAATGTTCATTGTATTAAAGATGTTTTCATGGCAGTAAAAAGGCATGCAAATAAGTCTAATTAGGCGAGAGATATTTTACTTTTTTCCATATATTTCATTTTTTAATAAACGTTGCTTTGACTTTGCTTTAAAAAGAACTTTAATTCCTAAAAAATGACAATAAAGTGAAGAAAATTTCAAGGTACTGAAAGAGCACGCTTCTCGCATTACACATGCATTCAGTTTATTATTTTTCTTTTTTTTTCTTTGGATTTTCATGTTTTGCTGATCCGGGGTTTTCACTCGAAAATGTATTCGTATTTTTCCAGGCGCGCAGGTGCAACACGCTCAAATATTGGTCGTCCGTTTATCCCTCAATTCCCCGATTCTCCTTATCCATGGGCCTTTATCTTTTGCTTCCTTTCACCTAGACTTTTAGTGTGGTATTTGCTTAGCTGTTCAAGAACAATGGAAAAAATAGAAAAAAGGGAGGACAGAGTGGAAAAGCGAACTCAAATGAAGTGAAGTGAAATGCGTGACCCCGGGGCTCACTAACAAATTTTACACCCAACAAATTTTCTTTTCCGTTCTGTTTCCATCCATATATTTATCTTTCTATCCAACTTATTTCCAGCTGTTGCTTGTAGAGAGATTTAAGGTCTTCTTCGGTTTCGTTTCGGTTTTTTGTTTGATTTTCCATTGTCCGTTGAGCAGGTAAAAGAAAAAAAAGAAACTGCATTTTCTGACACTGGTCCGTCAAATGATTTCCACAGGTTCCAGTTTTCAGGTAACACAATCTATACATACCTCACCCGAATCCCATTGCACCTTGTGGTGATATCTTTCCCCAAATGTTATTATAGAGAACTCTGATTTTATTAAACTTTTTATTGGTTTAATAAAAGCCAAAAGAAAGTCTTCTTATCGATATTAGCCATAAAAACGGTTTTATGATGCGTTGTGTTTCATTTTGTTTTTCTTGATGTAAATTATTAACAATCTAAACTATGGCCAGTAAAAAAAACTATCTCAATGTAGTCAGTTTAAATTTCTTAAATTTAACTGTTTGATGTTAACATATAAAAAGCACCATGGAGCATTAATGTAAAATCTGACAATCTGAACGCATTAAAACTTGGGTTTTGTCATAAAATTTTCTGATATGTGGCATGGCTATGCCAAAGGCTTTTAAAATAAATGAAATGGAAGAGTTCTCAAGACAGCTAAATTCACAAAGCGAGCTTTGGGTTAATGCTTCCTTATATCAAAAGTTGATATAATAACAGCAAACAAACAGCATGTAATATGTACAAAATCTTGATGGAACTCTTTCCCAAAAAGTTACTCCCAATAAAATTTCGATATATATGATTGCATGACTTGTGAATGGTTTGGTTGTGTTGAAATGATTTGTCGTCGGCAATAGAATGAAAACCAAAAAGGTATTACCATATATGCATAATTAAGAGATGTAAGCCTGGGAAAATCTTTCATTTGAGTTATGAGAAGACAAAGCTCAGATTTATGTAATGCATCATTCCACATTCGAATAATTAACATTATGCCTTCTACGCTTCGTCTTCTTCTTTTCACCATCAACCAACCATCCATCCATCTATCCATCCATCCATCCATCCAATCAACCAACCAACCAACCAACCAACCAACCAACCAACCAACCAACCCAACCATCATCATCAACATCATCGTCTTTGACTGGGTCTACCATCTTTAACGTTTCGTGAGAATGCGCAACTTAATTGAGTTTCAATAAAACGTTTTAATTTGACCAAAGAGAGAAAGAGAGAGAGAGAGGCAAAGAGACCTGGCTAAAGGAATTTTGTACGCCAACGCCTTAACTGCAAAAATTACAAAAAAAAAAAAAAAAAAAAGTAAATAAAAAAATACCGATAAAAGCAGAGCACAAACACATATAAAATTTATACAAAAAAAAAAAAAAAAAAAGGGAGCAAAATGGTCTCTGGAAGAATGTAAAATGCCAGCGGAATGCACAATAAATATTCGCTATGCTTTTCGGGTTGCCAAGATTTCATGGGATGGGCCCCAAACTCCTCATTCTCCTCGTCTCAAAGACCCTTGTTTCGTTGGAGCTTGTGTAACACAGAAAAGCAATCAGAGCAGGTTGCAAACAAGTTTTTTTTTTTTATTATTTTTTCAACTTGAACATCCGAAGGATGTTCACATATACATATATATATCTATATATATATATATATATAATAAAAATGGCTGCCACAAGTTAAATGTGTCATCTCAGCGCCGATGAAAAGTTGGCTTTTCCTTTGTCATTTCCAGACCATAGACCATAGACCATGGAGCATAGAGCATAGAGCATAGAGCCCCATGGCCAATGTGCTTAATGATTAGTTAATTAAAGTAATTGCAGCCTGGAAATGTTTTCCCCCCCCTTTTTTTTCACTTTTCGAGAAAATAAAAGAAAAGACCAGGAAAGAAAATAAAAGAATAAGAACGCGAAAGAGGTAGAAGTGGAAGAAAGCAGAGAACATTTTTCAAGTGCAAAGCGTGTGAGCCAAGAGTTCAAATAAAAACGTAAATTATTCCCCTGCGGTGAATGTTCGTGAGTCTGTCTCTGTGTGTGTGTGTGAGCATTTAGAAACACGCAGACGAAAAAAAAAACAAAAGACTTAGGCAACGAACTTTTCTCACTTGACGGTTAAAATTCACTTTCTGAATATTAAATACATCTGATTATGCTGCTTTATTAACAACTTCATTTGAGATGTCTGATCAAATTTTATTAGTTATCAATTCAAATGGACTTCCCTTTACTTTAGATAATGTTAATCTAAATATAAGTTTAGTTAAAATATTGCCAATATTCTTCAGAATCTATATTGGAGTGTACTTTCTCATTAAATTCTCTTCCGCTATCAAATCAAACTGATCATGTTTGTATTTGAAAATAGTACAACAGATGATCAGTTTTGCCTTTTTTGATCCGGCCAGAGATCTTGGCGTTCGTTGTAAACCGAGTTCTCTAGCTCCCCGGGCGATCTGTATTTAAGACCACAACCACAACACATACACACACACACAACACATGTCAACCGATCCTGGGGCGCACCGAACTCTTTCTTTAACTATCTTTGGGCAATTACATAAAAGCGCTTAGGCTCTTAGCCTAAAACTGCGAGATGCCGCCAGTTTGGTTTTCTTGTTTCGTTTATACTCGCGTATATTTTTGTGCAGACTCTTGGATCGCGCTCTGGATCCGTGTGGGTTATTTTATTTTCCTTTTTCGCTTTAAGCTGGGTTGCCTTGCCTTGGTTTTTGGTTTTGGTTTTCTGATGATCATCAAAGGCACGATCAAACCAATGGCCATGTGTATATACCTCTCTTTTTCTTTTAGTCATTTTCTTTTTTTTGTGTCTCTCGTTTTTTGATTTGGCGATAAGATAGCTTTGAACTTTTGTCTTGAGCTTGAGCTATTAGAGCTGATTTTGTTGTTGTTTTTTTTTTTTTTTTTTGTACGGTCTTTTGGCCAACTGATCCTCGGTTGATCGTTTTCGGTTGATCCATGCTGATCCATTTACCACATTTTCTTGATTTGGAGTTGCTCTCGTTGTTGGCTTTTCTCTCTCTCTCTCTCTATCTCTCTCCTAGCTTTTCCGCCTGCCTGCCAGAGCTTGTTTGTTTAATTGACTTGATTGTCAAACAGTTTGGTTTTCGTTTTGAGTGGACCGACCGACCACGACACAAGCATCTCTTTTTCTTTTTTCCTTCAATTTTGCTCATGTCAAATGTCATGTAGTCTGGGTCTCAATTTTGTCTCTGCCATCTCAGAACAATGAGTTTGATTTATATGGCCACAAAGAGCCACAAAAGCGTAGAAAAATCGTTTTGTTTTTTTTTTATATTTTTTTTATTATTTCTACTTGCGGTTTATGACATGTTAATGAGCAGCATCTTTGCTTCTTTTGGTTTGGCCACGCCCCCTCGGCGGCCACCTTTATGGCGGAAATTTCTTTTGATGTATATGGTGAGTCAGTGAGCAAAACATCAATAAAAGGTTAAAAATTAAAAAAAAAAAGACATTTAGCACGAAATATGAGAGGAGCTTTGAGATATTACACTTTTTATTGACCAATGGGTATTATTTCTAAAGTCTTTTGATTTTTATATAGATTTTCTTTAAAAAATAAAACATTTTATTTCTGTGTGTTTTAATCTTTGGCGACTTAACAGAAGTCAGAAAAAATAAAGCTAAAATAAAACTGGATCGCTTGGAAATAGCTGAAGCATGAGTGTACGTACATTGTCCACCTGGCTGGAATGCAATTCGATCTAAACTTTTTGTTCTTGTGTTCTTGCAATGAGTTTTTGTTTTTTGTTTTTTGCTTTTTGCTTTTTGGTTAATTATGCCATGTAGGTTTGTTTGGCCCGCTTCACAGAATCGTAAAAATTGTTGACGACAGTCTGTCAAAATATATGGGGATATAGCGATCGTTTCACCGCCGGACTCTCTATTTATAATAACTCAAACAGAGTTATGCGTTGCGTACGTGCCGTTTGTTTTGGGCCGCATTTGATTTATTGCAGAGACAACAACCGAGAGAGAAATAGACAAAAACAACAACCACAAAAAAAAAAAAAAAACACAAAAACATAAAAGACAAAAAAAAAAAAAAAAAGAAAGAGAAATAAATAAGAAGACAACAAAATACGAAAACCGAAATACGAGGCGAGTGAAAATCATGCGAACCGGGCTAAAGGCACGAACGAACCAGAGACTCCCAGACTCTCGTTTAGGTTCAAACCGATTTGCCAGGAATGTCGCTCGACAACGAGCCCGATTTGATTCGATCCGCAGAGAAGAGAAGACTGGAGACTGTAGACTGTAGACTGAAAACTGGAGTCTGAAGACCGAAAACCGAAGACCTGGGGACGAAAGATTGTGCGGGCGCTTTTGTCTGGCCAGACAACAACTTCCCTCCTTTTGTCTAGACGAATTTCGAGTTAAATTAAAACGAAGTAAGTACACACACAAAAATCCCTTGTCCTTGAAGTTGAGCTTTTGATTGACATATGCAAAAGGCCTCCAAGACGACTCAGGCAACGATTTGCATTAATACTTCTTCAATGTAAGACAAATTTTAAAAGGAATTGTCTCTTCCTTACCAATATCTACCCTAAAATTAACCATCTAAACTCTATCACCACAACTTTATTCACTTTGAAGGTTAAGTCAGGAATCTGTTCTATCTTTAGTTTACAAGTTTTGAGTAAATGGATTTTAAATTAAAATTTATATGTTATATTTTATACTTACGCGCAGTAGGTTTTGCCATTGAGTTGTGTTACGCAGGTGCCGCCATTTTGGCAGCCTACCCTTGTGCAGGAAGCGGAAGCCAATGCAGTATCTAAAAAAATAAATACAAATTATTATCAAATACTATATAAGAAGTTTCAAAGAAAAATTATTCGGAAAATGGTGCAGAAAATCCCCCAACTAATTGCTTTAATAGAAAGCAATCTCTTCTGAAAAAAAAAACTACTTTAAACATCTTCTTAACCATCTTCGGCCCGTAAGCTGCCAGCCATATCTGTAAGATCATGCTAACTTGTCGCCCATTTATGTCTACTTAACATGCCACATCGTTGCAAAGGAACAAAGAGAAAGATATATACTAGTTGGGGGGCGGGGAAGAAGAATACTAGAAGAATGAAAAAACATTCTTGTTCTGTGTTTGCTGAAGATCGAGTGATCGGGGACATATATGTGTATGCGTATTCTGCCTTTTAAGGGCAAATGGGCGGCTTGTCAAAGTCACCACCGCCAGTCTTCTTCATCATCATTATTATTATCATCATTGTTGCCAATCACAGACAAAAAGTTCACTGCACTTGAACTGCCCAGCGCTGCAGAAAGCTAGTAGTTAAATAAGAAAACTGAAACATTTGCAATCAAATCAAATTATTATTATGCATACGACACACACACACACAGACACATAAACGAAAAAATTATGCTTATTCCATTGAAAAATATCTGGCACACGAAATTAAACAAACGAAGCCGCAAACAAGCAATCCCCCCAATTTCACTTCACCTCTTCAGGTTCTGGTCATCCAAAAAAATATATCAGATATATGTACAAACAAGCTCAGAATAATAGTATAAACTTTAAGTTTTTAATAAAGTTGTAGTTAAATATAGAAAAAAACAGATTCTAAACGAAAAATTAAAGGGCCTTCTTTTGTAAAGAAAATATTTCATTAATTTAACATGCATTTCTTCTTGGCAATTCTCTGCTATTTTTATGCTCTCAACTGTAGTCTATATGTTTGCTAATTGGGCGTGTGGCGATTTCCTGCGCTGAAAAAAAAAAAAAGTATGTAGACGGGAGAGAGAGGGGTCGTCCTAACTCAACTGAACTCAGTTCATTTCATTTCGGTTCGAGGCGACGACAATAAGTTTTGATTGCCCCCGTCAGGCGGAGATAAATAAATCGCTTCTGCTGCCGAAAGGGGCGTTGGGCGGCAAGGCGTGGCATTGTGGGTGGAGAGGGGGGTGCATGGAGGGTTCTCAACTCAAGTATATACATATACACAATGATTGACCACTGTGTACCGCTGCCTTGCATATACACAAGCACAAATCAAATGCAAAAAGGTTTAAGTTTAAGCGGCAAACTGAATGAAAAATTTACAAATTTCTAAGAAAAAAACCAACCAAGCAAGCAAAATAAATAGAAAATTTTAAATTTTTTTTTCTTCATTGTATAATTTTGTATACTTTAAAGGTTATTTTAAAAAATATTAGAAGCCAGGAAAATGATATGATTACTTTATATAAGTAATTGAAATATTTTCGCTCCCTGTCTGTCGTCTTCTTTAAACATTGATGATCGATGGCTTGTGGACAAGACGTGGCATAAATCTAAAAGATTTATACAATGGCTATATATATATATATACATATATATAATAATGAATGAAGGCAACAACTTCAAATTGAGTCACAACCAATGTGTGCACAATATTGCAGAAAGTTATGCAAAAGGAAAAAAATGATTGCAGCATGCCTCATGCTCAGATGTTGCTCTGCATTTGATTGTCTTTGTTCGTTTTTTCTGTGTGCGTTTCTTTGTAAACTAATTGACCTCAATGAGTGTAAAAAAATTAATATTAAAAAAAATGATGCAAAAAAAGACAAAAATCCAAAAGAGAAACAGATATAAAATGAAAAGCAGCCTCTAAAATCTGCTGATTTTATAAACTTTATTACTAGGATTAAACTTTTGATTACAAATTCTCTGTAGAACTGCAAGTTTTTGTAATAAAACTATTTGAGATCTAAAAATTCTTAAACAAAAACTGGAATATTTAGAAAACCATTTGAAATGCTGTCAAGTAAAGTAAAGGTATGGGACAAAAGTACCTACATAAAATGAAATTGAATTATACAAATTCCAGGTAAAGATCACACAAATGGGGACAGAGCTTAAATGTGGTTTTTAGTAGTTTTTTTTTTTTTTTTTTTTAGAGGTGTGGCCATTGCTTATGACTCTGTTTAATTAATTTGCCGGCCAGAAAGGCGAGAAAGACAGAGATGGCATATGTGGGTAGCACTCAACGCTTCATCGACAGAGCGTGAAAAGGTTTTCAGTTTTTCAGCTACGTTTTTTTTTTCTATACTTTTTACCTATCTAAGCCTTTTTGTTTTTTTTTATTGCGTGTGATTTACCGCACATGTAAAATCAACGTAGAATTGTTTTTGGCCCGGTATTTATGCGCCGTTTAAGCAGATGCTTTTTGTGTGTGCGCTTTCAGCTTTTCCACTTTTCCAACCAACTGCCGACAAATGAGCTGTTAATTGCTTGACTTGGCCCAAACCAAGTTAAGACCTAATTAAACTTGCTCAACGATATGTGTAATAGAGATTGGCCGTTTCGGTTTGCCGGCCAAATCCGGCGGGGGGGATCTCTCAAAGTCACGACATTTCACAATCAACGATGAAAGCAGGCGTGACTGTGACTTGCAAATATATCCGTGATATTGATTGATGGAAATGGGCATGGAAAAGAGGGGAAAATGTTGCATTTAATAAAACTCTAAAACAATTCCCATTTTTTTTTGAGCAAAATTCAAGAGTAAATTTCGTTTTAATATCAGTAGGCCGGCCAGATAAGCTTCTTAAGGTAAAATAAAGGTTCACCCCACAATCTCATCCATAAAGCGATCAATGAACTACTTGTAATTAGCAGAAAAAACAATTTACATATAAATTTACACAAATAAAATCGACAAAAAAGAGGAAGCCATGACAATAATGAAATATCTCCGCTGGTTGTTTTTTTTTTTTTTTTTTCTTCATAAATGGCGCTTATCGAATTTAAATTTTTCGCATTACCACATACGAAAAAAAACAAAAAAAAACAATGAAAAAGTAGCTAAACGCTATCAGCATAATAAGCAACAACAGCTGCGACAACTAAAACAAAAAGAAACCACAGCAAACTAAAACAAGAAAAACAACAGCAACAAAAACAAAACTGAGAAAAAACCAAACCACGGCCAAAAATTTCTCACGCTTTTTCTCTAAGCAAAAAAAATAAAGAAACATATCAACAAGAATGTCAGCAAGTAAAGATATATAAAAATATGGTTTAAAAAAGACAAAATATATTTAGATTTAAATTAATTCTAATTATTAGAATAAAAAAAAAAGAACAGATAATTGTTGAGGAAAAACGAAACGAAAAATGGAAAAAAAAAAAGGACAAATAATTATTTATATGTGACAGAAATCGGAAATTGAAAGACCAAAAGCATTTTCGACCTTATCGCATCCATAATTCCGCCGCTGAACCCATTTTCTTATCTAAACTCAGTTTGTTCTCAGGCTTCCACATCATGTTTGTTCATGACTTTTATTTGGTGACTATTTCGCCACGATTTGCAATTGAGGATCAGAACCAAAATCCAGATATATCTCTAGAAATTTTCATAAAAGTATTACAAAAGTTGCTTCCTACTATAAGTGACAATAAATTGAACCTTAAAAGATAAAAATAATTGAAATAAGGTCATTCAACTTAAGAACTACATAAACAAAAATATAATGAAATAAACATATAAAATTCTTGTCAATTATTTTTTTTGAATGCTCTATCCATAAATTGAATCGAAACAATAGACAGGTGCTATTAATTTCAAATGGTAATATTTAATTGTATAATTTTCAAAGGAAGTATACTGTACTTTTTGGCATAGTTTCTTCAAAAGATTCGCCGAAATAATTTTCATTAAATTGCTTATTGCTTATTGATCGTTCAAGCCCCCACAATATATCTTTTGTTTTTCAATTCGGTTTTCTCAAGTATGTATTTTCCATTTACCATTGATCTTTTCTTACTCGTACTTTTTATTCACAACGTATATATAGATATGTGTCTGAAGTGTCTGAAGCTTGATAATAAAAATACATTTTCATAAACAAATTGCGTCGCAACAAAACACATAAAACTGCAACAGTGATAAGCTGGCCAAAAAAAAAAAAAAGAGAAACGATCATCAAACGATCATTATTTCTATGAGAATTGTTCAGTGAATTGCTGCGGGGGCCAGCAATAAATGTTTAATGCCAAATAGAAAATTGGTTATAGAAAAGTACAGTTGTGGAGATATCAATAGTGGTGGATACTAATATTAATATAATGATCGTTTGTTCAAAAATCTAAATTAGACTTTAAATTTTCTGAAAAGTTTCGAAAATAAGTTATGGCCAGCTTTTCTTTTACCATTTACTTTGAAGTTTTTCATATTTTGTTTAAAAATTAATGAACATCGAGTACGTTGACCTCTGCTCTTTTTGTAAAAAATATTACAAAATAATATTATTTTGGATATGGTTGTAAATATATATATGTAGAACATGCCGTGGGGTTTTTGTAAAACGAGCGGCATGCAGAGGCGGCGTTGTAACAACAGCAGCAGGCCACAAAATGCGGAAAGACTGTAAAGTGTTAATGAAAAAGTAGCAGAGATCGCTGTGGAATCGAGTAGCTAAAGGGGCTCGAACAGACAAGAGGTAAAAAGGGGGAGTGGCAAACGGGGCGGTGGGGGGCGTGGAGCGGGGGCAAGTCGTAAAACGAATAAACGAGTGTGGGAACCGAACGTCAACGAAACACAACAACGTCTCGCTCTTTCTTTTGGTCTTTTTGGGTTATGTGGCATGGAATTTCGCCTTGGCTCTCTCTCTTGTTCCCCCTCCTTCCCTTCTCTCTCTTCTAGCCGCCTGTACCCATCTCTTTTGCACCATTTGTCGCCATCTCTTTCGAACCTCTATCTCTATCTCTCTGGTAACCCCTTTTGTTTGGTCCGAAACGTCTGAAGCTTTTGATAGATTAATAGGCCA